GTCATTATTTTTTCATTAGAATGGCAGACTGGCCTACAGACATAATTTGTCAGCGACCTGTCCTATGCTGTAAAGAATGACATTTGTTAGCATTAAAATTTCTTCGTTGTGCCAAGAAAAAAGCGTAAGGACTTAATTTTTTTACTTATCAGACTTGTTTCTTTCATTACCATTCACATGACTTGTCCAGAACAGCTATTTTTGCACAGTATTTTTTTGGCGTGGTATAGGTAACGCCATTTAGCACTTTACTTTTTAAATTTTTTTAAAACGTGAACTCTCTAATTGCCTCGGGTAATGTATGCTTTTTCGAGGGGATTTTTCCTTCTTACCGGTCCAGGGATAACACCTGTGGACACTTGACAAAACGACATAACTAGAGTTAAGGCATTTTCCATTTGAACAATATTAGTCGTAGGTGTAGTTTTAGATGCTCTGTTAATACAAGCCTAATACAAATTTAAATTGTTTGTTGTCAAACTTCTACAAAAATAATGCAAGCCATACATTTTTTGAGTCATTGAAAACGAAATCACCCTTTTGGAAATTTCAAGCCGCGAGAACTGATTTCTAAGCTGGGTTAGTTTGGAATTTATGGAGGGTACACCTCCCCACAGCGCAGTATAAATAGATCAATTGTAATACCATATGCGATTAACATTTCCTTTCAATATTAGAAAGCTAAGACAAAACAAAACAAAGATGCGTAAAAATAAAGGCAAAAGTGAAGACCAACGCAAATTTAAACACTTTACTTATATAAAAGAAAAGGTGAAGGGGAGTATGAAGAAGAAGAAAATGATAAACATAAAAGTAAAAACAAAGATGAATATAAAGAAAAAGATAAGGATGAGGATACCGATAAAAGTAAAGATAAAGATAGAGCGAGAACGATTAAAATAAAGGTAATTATAGAGAAAAGGATATAGATAGAGACACATGGACTCAATCTGGGAAATACTTTGGGATTTTAGAGATTTTCGGGATTCTCGGGACTTATCGATATAATAATCGATATTTTTATTAGTTTTGTTGTCGATATTTTTATTGAATTTGTCATCGATTTTGTAATCGATATTTTTAGCAATTATGTTATTGATATTATTATTGGTTTTGTTGTTGATATTGTTACCGATATTTTTATCGATGTCGTTATCGATTTTGCTATCGATTATTTATCGATTTTGTTTATGATCATTTATCCATTTTGTTATAAATTTTTTTATCGATTTTGTTATCGATATTGTTATCGGTATTTTTATCGATTTGCTAATCGATTTTGTTATCGATATTTTTATCAATTTCGTTATCGATTATTTATCGATTTTGTTTTAGATATTTTTATTCATTTTATTATCGATATTTTTTTTCGATTTTGCTATCGATATTATCCATTTTGCCGTCGAATTTCTCATCGATTTTGCTATCGATATTTTTATCGGTTTTGTTATCGATATTTTGTTGGATTTTACTATCGATTTTGTTATCATTGTTTCATAGGACGAAAGTTGTATCAGAGCTCATTGTAGTTGTTCTGATCTCAAACAAACTGTGAAAAGATGGCCACTGATATACGTAGCTTGTCCTTTCCCGGAAAAGTACGGATCATAGTACCTTTAATTGGATCAGCAATTAACCAGCAGGCTCCTATGAGCAGAACAATTCGTTAGTGCTGAGTTACCTCGTTGAAAATGTAACGGAATTCAGTAACGGATTTTGCGGTGTTTAACTTGAACTTGTATTGACATGCCCTTCTAAGAAGGGAAATATGCTCCATTCTGGCTCTTTTTTAGAAGATTTTTTTAAGCTTATAAAGAAGGTTACCCACAACTCAAAATTCTAAGACTTTTTTGACTCTTAAATGAGTCCGAATACTTATTTAAATGATTCCGAATACTTATTTAAATGAGTCCGAATACTTATAGGGTGTAACCAATTTTATCAACCTGAATAAATTTTGGAGCGAGGGGGGCTTCAGTTGACGAAAAATACATCATATATCTACGTACAAAGTAGTAGCAATTTTTGTGATTCTATGCATCTCAATGTTGATATTTGAACACTGTGTATCATATTACTGCCTAAGGCAACAAAGCAATAAATTCATATTTTCGTTTCTTGACGCGTGAAACAGTAGCCACCGTGGCCTGCAACTAAAACTGCATAACTGTAATGCGAGTATGACCGATACAAAGCTAAAAATTTAATAACTTATCGGTAAACTATGAATTTGCTTGCAGCTTTCAGTGTCTACATGAACTTGCATGTACACAGGCATAAATATAGACCTACATACATATCTGTAAATTTAGCATTTTTATGACAGTCACTCATCATTTTCCAGCTGTCAACTTTATTGAAGCTAAGCCGGTTTTGTGCTCGAAAATTTGTGAGATTTGCATAAAACTAAATAAAACTAGCTTAAATTTATTCGAAACCTACTAAATATTTTTTGCATTTATTTATTTTTTTTGTATTGCGCCTACTTTAATCTCAGCCGCAATCAATTAAAACTGGTTAACTGGTTAATGCCACCTGTCGCATAAATCTCCAATCAGAGCTTGATTGCGCGGGCTGTAGTTTGTTTGTTTGTTTGTCAGACTCACTCACTTTGTTGGGCGACACATTAGTTCATTCATTACGTTGAAATGCAATAATAATTCGCTGTGTTGGCGTTAATTAGTTAATTGTGCAGAGTGAAATAAAAAATATAAAAAATATAAAAAAGTGGAAAATGAAAGCAAAGAGTAAGAATGAAATAGATGGATGAAAATAAATGACAGGCTAAAAACAAAATGAAACTAATGGAAGTATGCAGAATAGGCTGGTTGATTTTAGTGAATAAAGTGGCAAGCACTTTTCTTTTAATTGATGCATATTTTATTACGAAACGATGAGTGATGTTGCGTGGGTTTGCACGTGAATTGAAACTGGAGTGATTTTATAAGCATCAGAAACTTAACGCCGCCCAATATGTAAATTAAGGGAATGCTTTTTATTTTGTAATTCATTGGTTGCGTTAACGCATCTTTCCGGAAATAGATAATAGTGTTTTTTTTTTATGTAACAGAAAAGTTCGGCGATGCGCTATCTATTTTGTGAATGGCAAACAAGTGTGGGTTTCTAAAAAAATTTCGAAAATACACTGCCGGCAAAAAGTATTGTGACAGCGAATTTTTCACAATATATGCATCAATTTCTATTATAATATTATTCCGCAAATTTTTTATAAGATTATGGTATGATAAAAATGTTCTACAACAAAACTCATGCAAATATAATTCTTAAACTTTGTAAAAACCTCGCGAAAATTCAGCAAATTTTCAACTTTTTACTCAGATTTTTTAGAATTGTTTTGAGTACGCAGATTTGTAGCCCAATCAATTCTATTATAAGAAAGTACAAGTTTTAAGTAGCTAGGAATTACCGTTGATTTTTTGCCATTTTTTTCACGCCAAAAATACTTTATATGGAAAAAGTGCAAAACACCTTCAACGAAAAAGAAAATCTCAAAAACTAATGTGATTTTTGACTAACTCCGAAGTTGCATTATTTTAATAGAATTTAATGAGCAACAAAACTGCATATTCAAGAAAATTCGAAAAAATCTGATTAAAAAGTTGAAAATTTCCATGAAAATTTATTGAATTTTCTCCAGTTTTCCACAAAGTTTAGAAATCATATTTTTAATTATTTATTTTATTTATTTATTTCACATGTATGTAAAGTAAGACATGAAGTCTTTTCAGTGTACGTATTTGAAAGTTCAGTTACAAAAATTCATTTCCAATTAAATATAAATACTTAACTTTAGATAGCATTAGCAAATATACAGGTAATATTCTTATACTATAGAAGAGGCAAAGAAAAAGAGGTGAAAGATTACTACCTAAACAGATTTGATTTTATATATTTTTTGTTGTAGAAAGAACCATATTATTATAAAAAATTACTTCGTATGGAAGAACATGAGTGAAACCGTCAAAAGCAAAAAAAAAAACTCAAAATTAACGGTATTTTGAAGGCACTACAAACTTGCGCTTTATTGTAACTGAATGAAATGACATGAATCTGCATCCAAAAAATTCTGAATAAAAAGTGTAAATTTTGGATAAACCTTTGTTAATTTTTTTTGTATCAAGTTGAAACTGTGATTTATAGCGTTTTTTTACAGAACTAACTATAAAAAAATTTCGTTAGCTTTTTTGTGGGATTTCTATAAAATATATAACTTGTAGTAAGCTACAAAAACCTAACTTGAAACTAGTTGAAAAGTAATGCAAGAGTAATGCCAGACGTAAACGGGAGATTGTTTCTTTTTAAAAAGTTTTTTTTTTTTAAATATCCACTTACAAATTTTACTTTGAATTCACTTTTTTTCTGCACTTCACAATTTTTTTTCGAATTCAGGCAAATAAAAGGAAAATGGACATTTGGAAGTTATGTCTGTCAGAGTTTGAATATGGGGCCATCTACGGCAGAATATGTAAACAAGTATGTAATGTAATAAAATAAATAAAAAAGAATAACAAAAAAAAAACCAAAAAATAGTGACCTTTAGTTGCTTCCTAATCAACTTTAAGTTAACTTATAGTTAGATAAATTTCCTGCGGGGTAACTATTTGATCTGTTTGTATTGTAGTATACAAGCAATGTCGCAACAAGGCTGGTCTAGTCAAAATTCGATTTTTACCATTCTGTGAAGAGTACAAAAAGAGTTTTTTTTGTACGCCTATGCTGACTTCCTCATATGTACAATGATTCGTGTGAAAAAGTAATAACACAAACGAATTTCTTTAACGTTTTTAACGTTTACTTCGCTATTAATAAAATTTATTAGATGTATAACAAATAAAATATGTACAAAAAAAAACAAAAATAAAAAAAAATATTTAGATTTAATTCATAAAAACATTATTTGTTTTTTTTTTTGGTGAATCGCAGATATAACAAATTCGTATAGATCTTTCATTTCATGCTGTTGTTTCTCTTCAACGTAACTACCAGGAATGTCCATGCCCGTAACCACCATCACCTTGATAACTGTCACCATGATGGTACACCTGAGGATGGTGAGCATGACCGATGCGCTTCACAACGGCATTGAAACCACTATGGCCATCAGCTGTGTATTCAACTACACGTTTAGTGCCATCAGCTTCATCCAGAGTGTAGCCGCCTAGCGAGAAGAGGATAAGGAGGTTATCTTCGCTTAAAAACCGTTTGAAAACAACGCCAACTCACCCTTAACATGATCGCCATCACGATGCTCCCACTGGCTCTTGTGATCACCGGTATGCGCGTCCTTTACACCATAATCAAATGAGTATTTGGGATAATGATGCGGTTCATGGTGTTCCTCGTGGTGGTCGTAGCCATGACTGTGTCCACCGTAACCGCCATCGTAGCCGCCATGGTGATGACTGTCGTGTTGTACCACATAGCTGGAGGCGTGACCATGTTCTGCCAGTGCTACTCCGAAGAGTGCTACAGCGATGATGGCGACAAATGAAAGAATTTGCATTTTTGTTGAATTTGAATTGAATATTTTTTATTTTTTTGTTTTTTTTTTTTTTGGATACTGGCTACTTAGTAGCTCTATTGAAGTTTAAAGTTGAACTGATACCAACTAGCTGTCAACAGTTTCTATTTATACTCTATTCTTAATGAAACTGATCTTTACAGTAAGCTACATATGTACGTATGTATGTAGATAGGTTCTGTTAGTGCAGATCAAAATTATTTTATAGCAGGAAATTCAAATGTATGCACTTTTTGAAAGTGTACCAATGTCTAAACAATCAAAATTCTGCTAAATTGTTTAACTCACTAATTGCTATTAAACTGAAATGAAAGCTCGATTTGAACTAAAACCAATGACTAAGAAGGTCGCCTAGCAAATTCCGCAGTCAACTAAGTGCAGAAGTTTATGAATACTAACTAAAGTACACATTCAACACCCAGCCCATTTTTTATTTTTTTTTTTTTTTGGCAGCAAATACCAACACGTGATTTATTGTTTCATTGATGAATGCTTTGTATTACATGCAGATGTATTAGGGCGGATCGATTTGTAGGGCCCCAAAAAAATTAACAGAGGCACATCGCGAGGCAGCTTCAATTTTTAAATAGCCTAAAATGATCAGCGTTGAAAATTGTTTATTTATAATTTTTATTTTATTTTACATATTAAACACAGTATGAAAATGATAAAGCACGGTGTGACATACAATATATCGATAAACAGTATTACCAACATGATATTAAAAAAAAGACCGTATACGTGTTTAAAAATTGAAACTTTAGAAATTGTGTACGTTTTTTTTCATTTACATTTCATATGTTTTTATCTTTTATGTTGAATTTTTGAATAAAAAAATAAATTATATTAAAATAAGAAAATTTTTTTTTGTAAAAAAATAAAATAAAAAATATTAAAAAATTGAAGTTGCATTATGAGAACGTCAAATTTCGTGCTGTCGATTTTCGAAAAAAGGCGTTACAATCCAAAAAAAGTACGTAAGCGCCCTCTGGCGGCCCTCAAAAGAAAAACGAATGCCAAAAATAGATTCGTCGACCTCAAAAACCCCCAGATACACATTTTGGCTAGTTTTTAATACAGCTGTTTCAGCAGGTAAGCCACTTTTGTGAAAAAAAACTAGATAGAAAAAATCGCTGGCTCGAAATTCATTTTAGATCTATGGTTACTTGGGCAAAAATGCTTGAAATTACCCAAATGACCATAATCGCGATTTGCCTTTGATGCAAACAATTTGACCCGCTCTAATATGTATGTGCATATTTTCGCACTTAAATTTAGCGATCAACACCATTTACATTCACATACATATTTTATTGGTGTTGTTGTTGTTGTTAGTAAAATTTTAATTATTCTTGCTTTAAGAGCTTTTGTTACATTGGGCAATGGTAGCTTGTCGCGGTTTTGGTAATTATGTTCATAACATTTATGTAGCTGAAATAATTTGGAGAATTTGGGCGAAGTACCTACTTATGCAAAATAAATTTGGATAGCATTTGCCGTTATTTTAGTTAACAAGTTTAATAAAAACCCAAAATACATACTTACATACGTTCGAAGCTTGCGTAATTAGCACATAAACAGAATTTTACTTCATATAGCTGTATTTAGGTTTGTCTTACAATAAAGCTCACAAGGTTTGTGTTGTTTAAGGTAAAATTTTTAATTATTTAAAATATATATTTTTTTGGCCCTACCTTTGCGCATTTTGCAACACAATATAGTATATAAAGAAACCACAATTAGCTAGTTGGTATCAGTGCCACTTCAACCTACAGTAGAGTTGCAAGCCATATTTTAGAAAGAAGAAAAAGCCCGTCTTTAAATAAATTAAAAATATAAAATGCATATCCTCTCCTGTATCGCCGTCATCGCTGTAGCGCTCTTTGGCGCAGTACATGCAGGACATGAGCATGCCTCCAGCTATGCCTCAGTAGTACAGGAAAACATTCCTCACCACGCGGGCCACGACGAGCACAGCCACGGCTATGAACACCGCGAGGAACACCATGAACCGCATCATTATCCCAAATACACATTCGAGTATGGTGTAAAGGACACACATACTGGCGATCACAAGAGCCAGTGGGAGCATCGTGATGGCGATCATGTTAAGGGTGAGTTAATTTATTTTCTATATATATATATATTTTAAATAATAAATGATATTAATATAACCCGCTAGGCGAATATACTCTGGATGAAGCTGATGGCACTAAACGCGTAGTTGAATATACAGCTGACGATCACAGTGGCTTCAATGCGGTTGTAAAGCGGATCGGCCATGCCCATCACCCTGAGGTGCATCACCATGGCGACAGCCATCATGGCGATAGTGGCTACGGGCATGGACATTCAGCCTCTAGTTACGTCGAAATCAAACAACATCACTAAGCTAATACAAAGAGAATGGAATGTTCACACGGGATTAATTTTTTAACCAAAGAAGTTTGTAAATTTATGTAATTCTTTAAAATAACATCTGCTTAGTTTTGGGCAAATTATTATCTATTAAAAAGAAAAAGTTTCTTTAAATAGTTGGGTTCTATTTATCCTGCGAATATTTGCTATTCCGTATTTTGGGTGTGATTTCAATTTAACTCCATTTAGAGCTGACGCATGTGGCTATGTTAAACCACATTTACCACCATATTCCACGAAGAACCTTCGAGAAGTTAGGACCATCCTCCTAGGTCTGCTACCAGTTGATATTCCATTCTGCTCTGAACTGTTGGCCAGTGGCTTAATCCTCTGCCTACCCAAATCCCTCATTTATATAAGCGATTAAAAAGCCTAAATCCAGTGTGACCAGATGATCGCAAAAAGTGATGATGAAAATCCGTTTTTAAAGAAGGTTAGAAAAAGCTATACGCCATTAAAATTGAAGTTAAAAAGAAATCACAATATTCATTCTTTAAAAAATCGATAAGTTTCCCAAAACCGATTTTCAGCAAATCTCTATGTTGAATTTCCTGTCAAAGTTAACCAACTTGGGCCTATCATCTCTGGGGAGCAAAGCTAATATAATTTGGGATCCTAGCTTGTATCTGTTCCTGGGTAATAGGTTTATGCCTCTGCCAATGCCTTCTCTCGTGAAGTTTAGTACAGTTCGCTTTCCTACCTGTTCTATGGTAAGGTGTAGGGGTTAGAGCTTGAAAATCAACTCCAACGCTGTCGTCGGACATGTGCGCGTTGCCGTCGTAGTGCATACACGCCAGACGTTAAAGCTTGGTCAGGGATTGCCTTACCGTGGCAAGCGTGGTTCTCGAGACCCAAGCCCCCGCCCTGTAAGTAACTATTGGGCTAACTATCATGCTATACATCCATCACAGGTTCTTGGGAGTACAGCGCCAAGTCTTCCCTGCCAGACGTTTACATACCATAAGTGCCCTCGTAGATTTGGAATCAAACTTGCGCTTTATTATACTCAAAATGTTTCTAAGAATTCTAATTAAAAACCCCGAAATTTTGACATAGTTTGTCTTATTATACGGGTGACAAAGGGGCTCGCTCATCTGCATAAACAGCCTTTATTTACGTTAATTCATGCATGCATTTTCCCCTTTCAAATGCGCATAAGCAGCCGAACAAAGGCACGAAATTTTTGGAAATTAACTCGGATCCTTGGAATTTTCGATGGCCACACTGGTAAAAACGGCCAGCTGTTGTCTTTTGTACAAGTAAGCAAACAAAGCAAGCGACTATGGTATCCGCGGTAGCCGAGTGGTAAGAGTTGCATGCTACAAGCCTGTAGGTGCCAGGTTCTGTCCTCGATTGGAGCGACTGCCAACAAATTTTTTGTTTTTATTTTTAGTTTATTTTTTTTATATTTGATTTGATTTATATATTTAATTTTACTTTATTTTATTCGCATTTATTTTATTTTCTATCACATTTTTCATTTTACCATTAGTTAATTTAAACTTTTCGAGTTTAATTTTATTAAAAAAGTCAACAAAAACTGAACGCAAACAATAAAAAATATATAACTAATAAATGAATGACTAAAAAAAAGTAAATGAACATTCTACTGGCCGTGAGACTCGAACCCACGACTTTGCGACTCGTTAATCCGCATTACTGACATCTGTCAAAGCACAATTTTAATCAGATCAATTAAGCCGTTAATCCGGATCAACGCTGGCGTCTGTCTATGCCTTTATTAGATAACGAGCTATATTTGCATACAAAAACAACAAACATTAAATAAACAAAAGGAAGCCAACTAAACCATGTTAAAATGTCGCCTCTCTACCCATTTATATTTCCGGTACTGTACACGCATTACTTACCACTCATTTACCCAAGAAAATTCCATATGCCCTGCAGATTTTCAGACATAAGTAAATAGATAAATTCTCAATGAACTTTGCAATAATTTGAGAGTCGAATACTTTATAGTTTCACTTTCGCATGCTCATTGTTTTTGTAAAGTTTTATATTTTTCCACTTTTATTTTCCCTTTTAAGTACCAACTGTTTGCGAAAACATCTGCTTTAAAAAAATTTGTTTTTTTGTTTTACAAAAAATTTATGTTTCCACTAACAAGTGAGCTGTACCCATAAACAAATAAAAACTATAGAGCTGGTATTTTTACGCAGCATTGTCTTCGAGCGTACACGCACAGATGCAATGCCGGAAATATTTGATAATATAAACGGCCACTTTAGTGTTTTTTATTATACTTTTCGTGTTTATTTTCTATTCAATCAACAAAAATTGGCATCTTCATCTTCAAGACATAAATATGTACATATGTGTGCGCAGGGTGTCTGTTTTCCAAAGCGCTTGCCGGCTGATGGTTTAGCTAATTTTTTGATATTTTTTTTTTTTTGGTATGAAAGTGCGTCTGCTTGTCATTTTTATTATTGATTTGTGTACAGTTGTGCGTGCGTAAGCTTTTAAATTTATGCGCTCGTAAATTTTTACTCTCGCTGAATTTTAATTGTTAGTTTTTGTTTTCTTCTCTACACACAATCACAAAG